GCATGATGCGAAATCTAGCGGGAATTAAAAATCAAAATATAAGCATCGAAGCGTGTTAACGTGGAATATTAAAAGGTATGAATTCTAACGAAAGATATTAAATTTACAGATTTTACAAAATGCGGAGAAGTTATGTTATAATCTCCTTAGCAACTGGATGATGGAAACGTGATAACTGTACTGCCGATCAATCAACTTCTCATTACCATATTCATTCTGTAGATTTGAATTCACTACTTTGAAGTTTGATCACTGCAAGTGATCATACGATTTTTTAAATCTGACTACAAGTAGAAGATTCTTAGAAAAATTGCATGGTCTTTCATCAAATGATTGAATCTTCCCGTGAACGACTAGACCAATTTGTCATCAATTTGAGCAATGAGGCGTCAGTTAACCCTGGTCAGGGTCTATTGACTCATTCATTTCTAAATTCTAACTCAGAAAAGATAAATTGCCCAAACTGAAATAAATATTTAAGCTAAATTCAGAAGTATCAGCTCAGACAATACCAAACGGGTTATCAAGCCAGGGGAAAAGTTAGCGATTACCATGACCAGTTACTCAGCACATTAGAAAGTACACAGCCAATATTAAACTTCACAACATCTTCCGATCCAGACTTAACCCCGTGACTGAATATCTAGCTGGTTTGTTGGTTGTGGAACCGTGTGGTGGGTTTATCTATTGGTTATTAGTGAACCAGACAATTAAAAAGAAGCCAGTAAAGTTACAGTGTGGAAAAGTAGTTGATGTGTCTATGTTGCAGAAGGAAGTTGGGACAAACTCTTAAGAGTGTTAACTCACAGCCCTGATGTAGGATATATGGAGATATAGCGTAGAGTGTAAATGTAAGATATGTAGGGTGCAGGTGTAGATGAAATGTAGGATATGATGTAGGATATATGGATGGCGTAGATCGGACTAAGTTAGTTAAAATAAAAGAGACTGTAGTAGTAATTAATGTTGTTTCACAGTATCTTTAGACTTATAGAAATTAGAGGACTAACAGCTCATTATAATTAATATGCTGTTAGTCTAACAGTCTATTAATTATAATGGATGTAAGAATATTCCAGTATTTATTATTACCACTAGTACGTAGTAAACCACAATCAAAGCAACAATACCAATATAGCTACAGTAGAGCCGATACTAAGCATTTCTCAGTCGGTCAGCAAGCAGGCTAGCCAGCAAGTGGCTCGAGTGGCAACTTCAGTAGATGGGCTCCCTCACTACTTCACATAATATCAGCTTAAGAGCTGGTGTACTGCGTACGCGGGTGTGACGTCACTGTAACATAAAGTTTATGCGTGATGTGTGGTGGTAGTACTTGAGGAACGTGACCGTGCATATATATGATACAACTTGATCAGAGCTGGTTTGACAAAATATAAATAACGGTTACATTATATAAGGCTAAGGGAGAGGTCCCGATGGTAGTGGAAGAACCAAATAGCAGAATTGTAAATAACGTGCAGTCTAAGATGCTGATGGGGTAACAAATGTTAAATATCGTTTGAGGTAATCATTAGACGGACCAATTCAATATTTTAATGACCGTTGCTATTTAACGTCATTACAGGTAATCAAGACGGCTTCATGGCTTCCTCAATTCTCGTATCTAATAGCTTGATACAAGCTTTCAGACGATGCAATCAAACGAGTTCGTAAAGCATTTAAACAAGCTGAAATAAGTGCTGAAACGCTGCCTACAGGGCTTATATAAAGTCAAGAAGCTGGGGAGCGATCGACAAAACCTCTCTCGACGATTAGCGATAAACACTAGACTCCAAGAGATAAGTGATACATGCCTTCTCTATTTTCAATCCTATTTCCTTCAGGACGACAGTAATAACTTAATCAATCGGGGCGCGACAAGAATCTCCGTGAAATCGAGGACAACTATTTTTAACCTAATTCAAGAAAAGTATGAGCATGACTTGGTTATGCGGAGCCTGTTCATGAGTGAAGCTCTGATTGAAATTATAGCAATAATTGTAACTTATATGACTGTTGCGGTCGCAAGCCGGTCAAAAAGGTGATAAACGGGAAATGATTTTGGTCAACTGAGGTATTTACGGAAATGACCAAACTACAATCCTACGTTTTTTCCTCTCATAACTGTATTAATAATATAATTTCGTCATATGGGGACAAAGATGGGTGATTTGTAAATTCACTTAAGTTTCAATATTGCCGAATAGATTTATTTAAATAATATATAATATTTAGAGTTCAAAATGTCTGTACAAGCGACGAAGGAAAAATGCTCCTTTCAGGTAAAGGAAACAGTTCAACGTTTCAAAAACTACATCATATTCATGTTCTCAAATTATTTGTTATATAGTGGTGTTGAAAGTATTAAAACCCTTGGTACGGAAATATCAAGAAATTTGAACTGAAAACATCTCAAAAATGCGACTCACAATTAATTTTCTTATCCGGATATTACATAACATATAATATAAAGTCATAAGGGGACAAAGGCTTGGTGGGTGGTTTGTAAATTGACTTAAGTGTTAATATTGCCGACTAGATTTAACTATAATATAGCGAAAATAATGGAATCTGGCCCGAACGGACGATCCAGTCGGTAGACAAATTATAAGAACACCGCAAGCTGTGAAAATGTCATGAAATTCGATCAATGGACAGTTAAAAAGTGAGTGCAGCATTATATACGTTAATAGTAAAATAAACCCAAACCGCACGTTTTACGGACCATAAGAATGTTATAGAAGAAACAAGGGTAGCTCCGCAGGCTAGTAATGACGAACGTTGACTGGAGAAGCAAATCAGCAGAGTACTAGAAGTAGGGCTGTAAACAAGCCCGACGGGAAACTGAGAAAACGGAATACAAATTAGGAAGGAAGCACTCTCTGTGGCGTGGAAACGTTACACCGCCAACGTGTTACACTGCTTGTTGATGATTGGAAACGGATCAGAAGTGGGATATGTGATTGGAAATGTTCCAGTTTGGTAGAAACAGGTTATTAAGCTGTTGATGACTAGGAAAACACCTCTTATAACGTCGGCGGGCCAATCAGATGGAGCCTCAAGGCTACACCATTGTGAGGAAGTGTCAACTATTAACAAATAAAACAATGCTACGGTAATATGTTCCATTATCACTTTGTTATGGACTATGAACTATTTCGGTTTGATTTGTGTGAAACTTGATTGGATAGCTGTTAGGCGATAAAGTAAGAGATAAACTGTGAACATGCTCTTCTTAATGCACAAAGTACAATTTTACACTCTCTTAGCAAAAACCAAATTTCACTACTGCTATTATTAGATTACAGTAAAGCGTTTGACGTCCTGGATCATGCTACACTGCTAAATAAATTACAGCACTACGGCATCCGGGGAATAGCTCTAAAGTGGTTTGAGTCATACCTAAGTGATAGAAGCCAATATGTAGCAATAAACAATTCACATTCGTCCCACAAGCCTATTGTGCATGGTGTTCCACAAGGGAGCATACTAGGTCCCTTACTTTTCGTCATATACATCAACGATCTTCCCGGTATTTCTAACATGATGGTAAAATTCATACTTTATGCAGACGATGCAAATATCATTATTAACGGTTCCAATGTCCAAGAACTAATGCTAAGGGTCAACCAACTAACGGAAACATTATCACGGTGGGTTAATAGCAACGGATTAGCACTAAATCTAAAAAAGACGTGTTATATGATTTTCTCGAAAAAGCGCATAGAACCATCATTGATTAAAGTACAAATAGAAAATACAGTATTAGAACGTAAAACTGAAGCCCGGTTTCTTGGTGTAATTGTAGATGAAAAGCTTAACTGGAGTAGCCACATAAAAGCACTGAGGAGCAAGATGTCAAGATTTATTGGGGTGATGTACAGGATAAAACATAAATTGCCAATGAAGGCCCGTTTACAGATTTTCCAAAGTTTTGTTCAGTCCCATTTAAACTTTTGCTCACTTGTCTGGGGATTTGCTTCAAAATCTCTTATAGAATCTCTTTTTGCTAAACAAAAACAAGGTATGAAGGCAGTTATGGCCGGAAATGTGAACTACTACTACAAGGACGGAAAACTGCCAGAACACACAAAACTAGCATTTAAAGAACACGAGGTCTTAACCGTTCAAGGGGTTATCGTTAAAAACGCACTTATTTTACTGCACAAAGTTCGAAATATGTCTAGTTTGTTACCTAAATCGATTTCAGAACTTTTCCCTCCTAACACACCCAAACAAGGAACGTCACACGAACAAAACTTAGACTGGTTATCAATTTACTCACAGACTGACCTGAGATCTAGCATCTTTTATAAAGGCCCAATGCTCGCTATTTCAGAGCATAACACTCGCATTACATGCCCATCCAGTATATTTTCTATCAACATATATAAGAATTCGTCAAAAAAAGTACTACTAGACTTGCAAAGTGCTGGCTGCAACGACGAATGGCCACCATTTTTACTCCACAACCTACCTGGATTACGTAAATCACAAAGAACATAGTCAATAATCACTCAAAACCAAACTCATACAGCTCAAATTAAACAATCTGAATCAGGACAACATTTCAAACCACCTGCCATTCTAACAGCACATTCCTTATTTCACTGCCACATAGCGCATATCTACACTGATAACACACCTAATTGCGGTGAGGCAGCATCATAAAGTTACCAATATCAAATATGTTTGCAGATCAGGGCTAGTAGACTCGACCAATAAAATTTTAATCGAATAGTTTTAATAGATAACATCACAATTATAATCTGCGTGCCCCTCGGGGATGAATATTTAACTTATTTCAATTATATATTACTTTTGAGTAAACATTGGCTGGTACTACGGACCAGTCCCCAAATCAACTGCCATTCTAAAACTTAACACAAGCAAGGAGGTATTTATCTGCTTATTCTAGAAAGACATGCAAATAATCGGAGGTTTAAACTGACATTTGAGCGTAACGAACTTAAGTTAAGTAAATTCTTTAATAAACTAACCGATCGGGGAGGGAGCTGGTGATACTTGGGAACCTCCATCTATACGTTCACAGGCGTTACCGTAATACAACTTGTACTCAGTTTCATCTGAAGATAGAGGGTGATTATTTTCAAAGTAATTTGATAAAGTGAGTTCTTTTCTATAGTTATTAGTTTCTAAATATTTTCAGGCGTTCATGGTGACTTGTCAAACTGGTCCGAAAGACGAATTAAGCCAAATGTAAACAGACTTTATTTTACAATCCATATGGTCTCTATTAACTATTTACTGTTGATTGAAATTGCTACTCGAACTGACTACCGAAGTTTAACTTTAAGAGGTAATCGCCTGAAGTTTTTATTGCGTCATTGGTCATACATTTAACCGTTTATGAAAGTTATCCGTCGCGTTAAATTATTCTTTCTGCGCAGTAGACCATTGGATGATTAATTTACAGTCGGTTAAATTATAAGCAGCCTGCAGCAATAAATACTTTTATGCTAAAATTTCTGACGACATTATTTATCGAGTACTGAGTCTGTTTAGCAGATCAGCCTAGATCAAGGGCGCAAGCGGCCGGCACGCGCTTCTCTGTCATGGTAAATGTGAAATTTATAATTTACATTAGTATAATGTTTTCGCGCGCTCCACAAAGTTTGTCTTTGCCAAGCTTTTTCACTAAATTTAAAGTCTCTTGGCGACCTATTACTGAAATTCATGGGTCAATATCGTCAGGTAATTATTGTTTACGGATGAGAAAATGAACACACACGATGACTAGTTATTTTGGAATACTTATTTTTGTTGTTACACACCAAGAACAATTCGTGATTCATCTTACCGTACCGTACGCAACAATATGGAATACATGTTTAAATTATGCACTTGTTATAATGATAGTAGACTATTAGAAATAATAGCAGACTATAACAAACTTCGAATTCGTAAAAAATGTAACTTTCTCGGCCGTTAGTCCACAAAAGCGAGCATCATAACCACACGATTCTATAAATGTGCCCGGAACTTATGAAATGGACCGCGAAAAGTACTATTATACTACTGTAATCATGCCATATTTGTACATGCACTTCTTTGAGGACCGAGACACTAGAGTCAAGATCTTGAAGGGCCAACCTTTAAAAGTCATCGGTCAATTTTTTGTGGTTGTTTCTGACCCTATTTTAATAGCATACCTCCAAACACCAAAATAATTCCAAAACACCAAAAATACCTCTTAAGCACCTGCTTAGCATCAGCGCCTCAAATTTAAAACGACAGGTTTTTAGTATGCGAATTTCATATTATCTTATTATAGCTATGGTATTAAGACATGAGTCCAAGAATGTAGCTAGAAATTCGTATTTATGGATATGCACCCAAAATGAAATTTGAAAGTACCAACCTATCACACCCACATCAAATTACCTCATAACACATACACCTTGTATAGCCCCTAGACAAGGGCTAGACGAGTTTTATCATGATTTCAAATCTTTTATGTAACCTGATAACCCGTAATCAAATGACGAATAAATTGTATAAAAATACAAAATGTACAAGATGCACGATTTGTTCTTGTATAACATATGCGGTTCTAAGAGGCCCTCCCACGGTTTCTTTAATAAAGTCACAGTCAGGTCACATGTGAGTCACGTGATATTAGTGGTAGGATATTATATTGAACATAATATGCACTTATCATACCTTCACAACCAATAACATTAGGTAATATTTTCACACGTTCATATGTGAAACAATGTAATAGGTTTGGGAGCTATTTTGAAGATGAGTTCTCACAAAAATACATGACTGCGGAAGTGGGGGTTGTAGAAAAATATATTGGGATACCGTAATTTCTTCTTCAGAAGCTTTCAAATGACATGTGCTAATCGTCTTACAGCAAAGAACTAGTTCTATAGAATCTCACTGTGAGTCCTATTTAGCTGTGTCAAGTTTCCTGTGAGATAAAACCACTATCAACCTACACTAGTAAGTATTGGATACTATCTAGCCTCCAAACACAGCCAGGATAGTGGATGATATCCTGGGGATATTAGCAGATGTTGTATAATCAGATGATTAATATGATAATCTACACTGTACACTGTACACTCAATCCCATTCAACAATCTATCAACCCTGAAAGCTTGTTGAAAGCACATTGTCACATATATATGTTAAAAGTGGTTCCATCTGAATGGTTCTGGGTGTATGCACATTAAAATTACAAATTTAGACTTAAACCCACAGATGTATGTTATCTAGTTTAGAATAACAGGCCAGGGGTGATGAAGTAGTCTGAAACCGTGTCAAATAACACGCCCTCTTAATCCCGGACGCGCGTGTGTGTCATGACACGTGCGTGACTGTGTGTGTCACGTGTGTGACTGTGTGTGTCACGTGTGTGACTGTGCGTGTCACGTGTGTGACTGTGTGTGTCACGTGTGTGACTGTGTGTGTCACGTGTGTGACTGTGCGTGTCACGTGTGTGACTGTGTGTGTCATGATAGGTAGACCACAAGACCTGTAAGTTGTCTGGTTACACCCTCCTGACTAGGCTCAAACTCATAAAGATAAGGAGGACTTAAAGTCATGTGACAGATTGGAGGTTGTCTGTTTAGAAGTAATGTGGTTCAGTTGTCACAAATGGAGCAGTGAGCAGGAGAACTCAAGTATAATATCTGAGTATAATATCTCAGTATAATATCTGAGTGCTCAAGATATGATACGCTTATGAACATGCTCTTATCGGAAGACTCAAGACAGGCAGGCTGCGCTCCAGCACTCCAGCAGTGTAATTGTTATCAGGAACTAATAATTAGCACATGATCTCTTACATATTATGGCCCAGTCGACTGGGCCGATCGTTACAGTAGTTTATCAGTTGATCAGTAAGAATTTAAATAAATGCGGCTGATTCAAATCGCCGTGACATAAGCCATCAGATATTTCCTGTGCCATAAAAACCTAATTTAATTAATAATGACATATTTCCAATCGATGAGATGATGTCTTTTTTATCCTCTTATCACTTCTATTCTCTTATCTTCTTATCACGTATTCTTATCACTTCACACTTCACATTATCAATACCCCACTACACTTTACAGCATATGAGCATGTTGAACCACAGGCTAGGCTGCTCATACGGGCAGCATGTGCACGTGCGACAACATTTACAGTTCATTCACATGGTGTTTAGGACAAACTCGTAATTTTGACTGTCCTCCTTCTGCTGTGAAATTACACTAGGGACAATGGGTATCTCCGCCCAGCTTAATTACCTAATTAACCAATTAATTTAACTAAGGTCTGAAGAAACCACCAGACGCACAATAATGAGGACCTAGATTACAGCACATCATGCATGTGGATTGTGGGGACTGTAGTCAGTAACTAACTGTTAACAATAATAATAAGAGGAACTCTACTTTTAAACAATGGGGAGGCAGTGCTCGTGCAGCCAATTATACACCACCAATTAGACACCACCATGCAAGGATCATGGAACTCAGGATTCAGTTTACATGATAGCCACGGGGCATTGCTGTCTTCTCAACCATCCGCGAAATCAATTAGCTAGAATAAGGTCTAGAGTGCAAACTACAAGATATCCAATAGCTGCTCCTACAATGTTTATACTATAAAAGAATGTAGAGGGCCAGGGTCGGGTGTGATTGAAGAATTTCTCGTCCTCTTGCAATCTGCTTGCCTGATTTCAGAGAAAAATGTACCAAGTACAGCGGACAGTGTACCAGATGTGAGTGCTACGTTGCAATCTAGTAGCTGCAAACTCTCACTAGTGTCCTAGGAGATGTGTGTGACAAGGGAGCGGCTGATGGAACAGGCTGGAGGGTCCCTCACCACAAGTACCTGTATTATAACAGCACAGAGAGAGAGGAGCTGGAGGTGTGTACGGGATATAATTAATTTGACGCTACAGCACGCGAACTTGGTAATTAAGGAACAATAGCAGAATGTTGAGGTGCACACACACCTTGAAATGTTGACACTGGAGACACTGGAGAAACACAGTGTGTGTGTGTGTGTGTACATGATTACATGAAGCTTGTTAGCTTGAGTATCTTAACTGGATTGTAATTTTAAGAAATATAGTTTTTAGAGTAGAAGAAATTTAGTATTTGACATCTGAGGTCTGGGAATCTCGTACCTGTTATTGTTATATATAGGAATTCATTCCACTTAGCCTATATAATTCCTGCGACATGACTAATGACTGCGTTGTTGAAATGTCGAAATTTAGTTAGAGCTCTTAGCTTGTTACGCAGTACTTATCACTATCATGTCAGAGATATCTCAAACAAGAAATTGAGTAAGTACACATTATATATAAAGAACGTCAAAAAAAGTGTAAATATATCAGATATAATAGAAGAGTAGATACTAGATATTACAGTAGATATCTGAAATCTACTTACATTCACTTCTAGAGTTAGAACTTCGTAACGTATCTGAAACAATGCCTAGTGTTAGAATACTATTCGTTGCTAGCAGTGAGCAGTCTAGTATAAGAGGCTTTCGTGTGAAACTATTCAAACTATTTCACAGTAAGCAACCAAATATTTGAGGTGTTTCAGCTAGATACGGCGATACTCCGTAATTTTCAATCCAGGTGTTAGGTAGATACGGCGTCTAACTAGTTTCCCTAACCATTTGCACTGGTGTGACCGTGAGATAAAACAAAAAGTTCTGATAAAATACCAGTTAATATGAGACAGTGTTTTGTGTGGAATTATAGTGAGACACTGAAAGGTTGGCACGTAGCCTCAGGTCTGGCCTGCAGTTACAGCAGTCTTGCTAAGTCAGACAGGTAAACTACCGAAAACTCCATCAAACACGGCAATATTATTGCATTTTTCCGACTTTCAGACTTATTTCTGTCATAAAACCCCACATTATTAGGTCATAAAAACAGGTGTTGAGTTTTTAACACTTAGATACTACAACACACATAACCCCGGCATGCGCAGGGATTATATTTCAATTTTTCCCGCGACGCGCGGGAAAAGTTTATAATAATTTCGAGTGCAAAGCACGAGGGATTATTATGAAAATAACCCCGACGTGCTTTAGCACGAGGGGTTATTTTAATATAACTTAAGCGTGCCGGTGTTATGTGTTATAAACCCCTCCGGGTTAGTGCTAGGACCAACAAATTTGACATTTTACTCTTAAATATAGCTATATGAGATCATTATGGAAAATATGAAATGGAATTGGGGACTACCAAATAATTATCAGAATCTATTTAGCGGGAGCCGGGATTATCAGAATCTTATTCTATCCCGGAGGGGTTTATAATAAAAACAGTGAAACATGCTTACCGTGACGCTAACTGTACGGGTGTTGAACAGTGTTGAATAGTTAACTGTGTTCTAAATAACATATGGTAAGCAGTGAAGTGTGTCAAAGTATGCGTCACTACTTCTACTGGGCAGATCCTAATTATAATGCTGAAGATGTGTCTGCTAAGTATTGTGAATATGCTTATTATCCTGGCTGGCATGTTACATCAAATGGATATCAAATACGATAATTTGAGGCATGCATCAAATTGGATTACACATTAAGATATTATTGCACTGCCCACTGGAATATCGTATAATGGCTGCACAACAGGTACCCCTCTAGAGACTCTAGCTGTCTACATTCTATAATGACATAATAATAAATCTAGTACGTTCTGTACCCACTTTATCAATTATCAATTACTGCTATTATAAAAGGTTACAGCCATCTAATGACATCATATAACCATTAACCATTCTTCCCTGCTTGGCGTCTACACTTACATTACGTAAACTTACACAGTAATAAGTAGTTACGGACTTTTAAATTATATTATTGAAGATAAAATACGCAACATATATAATAGTTATGATTACGCGTTAAATGGTTTCGATTATTGTTCATTATTATTCATTGAGCATAATAATATAATGTTTTTGTATTATATATAAATATGCTAATGACGGGTGAGAGTAGACTTAGCTAGGATCACGTTTACATTTTTATATTTTTATATATGATCACGTTTATCTTTACGAATACGCGTGATTTGGTCTTTACACGTGATTTCGATTCGCCTTCATGTTCTTTTCTTTCGATGACTTTTTTCAATGATTGGTCAAAGAGAAAGAGATCTTAAAAATATTACAAGTTTTAATCTTTTACTTCACAATTATGCCATACATATTACAATGCGTTGATTTAGAAAAATAAAGTTATCTAGCTAAAGCTAACTAGCTTAATGATGGTCTGTCAGAATAACAATTTAAACTGTCTATACCCTTAGGTCTATAATACTATCAGTAGATAGTCACATGAAATAGTGCGCATACCATATATCCACATAGTTTAGATATTTTAGATATCACCGAGATGCCACACAAGTGAGATAGGATCAGTTGCCATGGAGCCCAGCTTAGATGCAGCGGTGAAGTCATTCCTGACATTCCTGACATTTAATCCTTACTGGTTCCGAGAATTTGATTGTATATTGAAAGAGCAAAGCTGTTCCAATCAATCATATCAAATAAGGATTCATAGTCGATCTCCGTGATGCGTGAAGATGATAATATCATCATGCACTTGAAACAGCACAAGTGCTCTAATCAATCTAATAGGCATAATATCTACTATCTAGGAGCTGGGATATAATCACATTATCACAACTATGCTGGGGGCACTTTGTCATAATTAATTACCAAACATACCATAAGCATATACAACATATCAAGAATACCATGAACTACATATCACGAATACCATGATATGCATCATGATATATATCTTGAATACCCGCCAGCACAGTCTTATCAATATTAATAACTTGATAAGCTCGTCATCTGACAGGCTGTGTTCAATCTCGTGATAATTAGTTCTAACTAAATGGCTGCCAGAAACTGATCAGTTGAAATCATTTATAAGTTATCAGGAAGAAGCCATGCGCTTCTTAATGATTGGTTTTAATAATTACTGCAGGCCACGCCAGATATTATCTTTAATTGCCCGGTACTCAGATAATGTCGTCCCGGTCACACCCCCACCATAATTAAAAGCAACTTTGGCAGAAACGAGAACCCAGGATTTAGACGACTTTCTGAAGTATTCAGGGAGGGGCCGTACTGAGCAGGCGATATTCTCACACAAATCTTAGGTTTAATTACTTAATTGGCACGAATGTAATAGGATTACACCTGTTAGTTGGATAGTTAGTTGGTATATTTTACACCGGACGTATGGTGGGTGAACTAACAAGGTACCAACACCTGGATTAAAAGGAGATTGTAACAGTTGACCAACAAAGTTGATATTTCTAATAAATATTAAGGTGCCAACTAATTTATTCATATTAGAATATATATTGTTCGTTTGATGATCATTTCCAGCACGTTTTTCTCCTGAACAGAGTCAATATGTCTGCCCCTACAAATATGAAGTCTTATTCAAGACTTTCATATCGTGGCCTGATTAGCGATTGTGGTGGCGTGGTAAGAATCTTACGTCAATATTGTCGTCAATCTGGCGATTGAGGTTAAGTTCAAAGTAAGATGGAAGGAAATTAGTCTCATCATTCCCATCATTACAGCTGAAGAATGCTTATTGACAGTTCGATTGATCATTATGAGGCTTAGCATGAACAATGAACATATGCTAATTGAACCCAAAAATAGTTCAATTAGGTTCAGTAAGTCGGACGGTTTTTCCACACTAAAAAAAGATATGCAGTCAAAATAAGAGTGATTCTGTGAATATAAAGGATATTATGCATTAAATATTGCATCCGACCATATTAAAAAAACTTATGTTTCAGTGCTTGTGACATGTCCGAAACATTGCAGCACAGCACAGATGCCATCCAGTTTTCCATTCTAGTAGGGCAATTAAGAAAATATATATGAAATCACTGCTAATCGTGATTTAAGTAGATTGTGTGCTAAATAAATGAGTTGAGCAACACCAGTTACCGTGCCTTTATTACGGAAGTTGTGTGGCGAACTGGGAATTAATTGTGCAATTATTGTGTAATTATTGTGTAATTGGTCACTAATTACTCATTTCACGTACTCTACCGAACATCATACCAAGAAGAAAAAGAAGTGACGGATCTTCTAGCTTTATTTTAGCTGTGTTTTTAAGATTATCAAATAAGGTTTAAACGCCTGGGTTGTTACAACATGTTTATTCGAGCATTTTTTAAAGACGTTTTTGACGATCTAAGGCCAAGGAGCAACAGAATCTGACCAAACTGTCTCTGTGATGTAACAGTAACGATGCTAAACCAATTAAAAACTCCCCTACATAATCTGAATTCTGAGCAATTGGGTAACCAATTAAAGATGCATCGGTCAAAAACTCTCTATTTGCCACATCTTGTAACCTACAGGATTTTGCCCAATTCTTACTACCAGCTACAGCCCCATTTCTCTCCGGAAACAAAGTACCTATGACGCATGATGAAATGTACACAGCTATTATAATTTATAACAAGTGTTTCAAACGTCATGCTCCTTGCTGTGGGGTACAGGTGGCTCAGTCACACTATCGGGGCACCGAAACACTGCATATATTATTACTGGAACACTGCATATATTTAATTGAAACACTGCATATTTAACTGGAAATCGTCTCTGCAACCCTAGATAGTACTATATTTATATTTTACGTGAAATTTACGTCGATCATACAATTACAACATTTCAACGGATATCTTTACAGCTCATTAGATGCAATTCATTATGAACTTCCCCAGGTTACACAGGTTACAATTCACAATTTAACAGGGTCATGAATCTGATTACTGTGTCTCAACTACCAAACCTCCTACCTCTACTTCCCTCTCTCCAGACAGAACTTATCTTAAACAGGTATTATTACAAATATCTTGAGTCAAGATTCTTGAGCATCTTGGGATGTAGAGACTATAATTAGTGATAGAGTAATAGCAGAGATCTTGATCTACTAGAGACTACTAGATACGTTATAGTGTGGCGGACTGCGGAGTGAGGACCGTATTTAACTTTACATACTGTGAGGTAAAATACACTGAGAGTGGCACTGGCGGCAGACCTATACTTCTCTATACTATTGTTACATAATATATGGATGTTTAAAATGACAATGGGAGTGTATAATAAGGTTTGAAATGTTTCGTCACCAAATGGTGGTTACCTGGATCAAAGGTAGATAGCAAGATACCTGGAGCATGTTGCGTAATGGTAAACCTGGTAAACCTGGTAAACCTGGTAAACCTGGTAAACCTGGTAAACCTGGTAATGGTAAACCTGGATCTGGTATATGGTGAGATACCTGGAGCAGTGGAGCATGTTGCGTAATGGTAAACCTGGATCATATAAAGAGTGTAGTGTGGAGTAAATGTTACGAAATACCATCTGCTGTTCATTATTTACATTGGACGTCATAGCACTTTGGAAGTTAGATGTAGTGT